TACTCTTCTAAAAAAACAATAACTGGTCGACAAGATAAGAATTAAAATGAAAACAATTTAAATCAATAAACTAGTTTCGGTGGTTCCAACCTTGGCAAGTTGAAGATGTGTGGACTTCAGTTCCCAGAATTCCTCAGACAGCCTTGCTTTGGAGGTAAAATGAGAGGTGACCTAAGACCGGACTTTTGTCAGACTTCGATTCTTCCTGATTACACGATTCCTTCCCCCGCAAGATCCTTGTTGTGATCAGGACTGGTCTTAACAAATAGGAGATGCACCTACAAAACAGGCAGGACATGGACTGCACTGTTGTGCCTGCCATGTTGTGTTTTTTTTTTTTTTTTGCTATTTATGGACAGCCTTGTTTTCCATGGGAAAAAAAAAATTCTAATAAACTGAAAAGTTTCTAAAATGAAACTTAAGGGCTTGTTTTAAGAGCAAAACTTGCTAAATGTCTAGAAATGTTGGACACAGACCCAGAACCACGATGTAGTGCTGGGAAAATATTTTTGCACTTATTTGCAGGAAAAAAAGAATGTATAGAAATAAAATTGTCACTGCTGATTGTGAAATGCACACTTTTGTTCTCTTCCTCTTCGGTTCCATTCATTTTCTTCCTTGCACAACCCTCCAGGTCTCCTCTGAATCCCTCAATTTGCAAATTCTCCACAGAGGAAAGTTCAGGCTGATTTTGGCTGGGTTAGGAAGCTAACCATAGTGATATCGCTTAGTACTGGGATGGGAGACCACCAAGAAACCTTTTAGAAGAGGCATTATGGACAGCAATAGAACTTAGACTTATATAACACTGCACAGTGCTTTGTAGCCCTCTCTAAGCAGTTTATAGAGTCAGCAAATTGCCCCCAACAGTCTGGATCCTCATTTTACTGACCTCAGAAGGATGGAAGGCTGAGTCAACCCTAAGCTGGTGAGACTTGAACCTGCCAAACTACTGGCAGCCGGCAGTCAGGAGAAGTAGCCTGCAGTACCGCATTCTAACCACCGCGCCACCATTGCTCAGCGCAGCTTCTCTTCCATTTTTATTGCCAAGAAAACAAGGTGGACTTACTGTCTATGGCAGGGGTCTCCAACCTTGGCAACTTTAAGACTTGTGGGCTTCAATTCCCAGAGCTGGCTGAGGAACTCTGGGAGTTGAAGTCCACAAGTCTTAGAGTTGCCAAGGTTGTGGAGACCCCTGGTCTGTGGAGATTCTCAGTCATCCAGGTCATGGTTGTCCCAAAGGTGCTTTTTCAAGAGGCAATTGGACTTTGTTTTTCTTTGAAGATGTTTCTCTTCTCATCTAAAAGCTTCGGTTCTGTAGTACTGAACTGAACAAGGTTCTTGGATAAGAAGCAGAACATTTTCAAGGAAAAATAAAGTCCAGGTGCCTTTTGAGAAAGCACTTTTGAGACAAGGTGGACTTAACTTTGCAATGAAGAATCAAAAATACATTTGACAAGTTCCGAGCCTTCAGCAGCTGGGAATCTCTGAATGTTGGCTAGTAGAGGGCAATAATAAGGGAGGATTGTAGATTTCTCACAACCTATTACAAAACTCCTGAACTTGAGGTTTTGCCTGCTGCCACATACAGCAATGTGGGGCAGGAGCCAAAAAAGCCAATGCAATCCTAAATTGTATTACTGAAGGATTGACTCAAGATTACATGAGGTACTAATACCACGCTATAAAGCCTTCGTAAGACCACACCTAGAGTACTGCATCCAGTTTTGGTCACCATGCCATAAAAAAGAAGCTGAGACTCTAGAAAAAGAATGCAGGGAAGAGCAACCAGGATGATGAGGGGACTGGAGACAAAAACATATGAGGAAAGATTATAGGAACTGGGCATGGCTAGTCTAGTGAAGAGAAGGACCAGGGTAGACATGATAGCAGTCTTCCAATATTTGAGGGGCTGCCACAGAGAGGAAAGGCTCAAGCTATTTTCCAAGGTACCTGAAGGCCAGACAAGGAACAATGGATGGAAACTGAACAAGGAGAGATTCAACCTGGAAATAAGGAGAAACTTTCTGACAGAACAATCAACCAATAGAACAGCTTTCCCTTCAGAAGTTGTAGGAACTTCATCACTGGAAGCTTTCAAGAAGAGATTGGACTGCCATCTGTCAGAAATTGTGTCGGGTCTTCTCCTTGGGTAGGGGGTTGGACTAGATGACCTACAAGCCCCCGTCCAACTCTTATTCTGTAACGAGGCAATTTCATTCTTGAGAACCAGATTGCCATGGCGAAGCAGAAAAGTTAAAGCCATAGAGCTATACTCCCTAGAGCAGTCTCCAGACCGACTCCAGGAAGATGCAGATCTGCGGCGAGGCTGTGCTATCTGGAAGGGAGGAGCGTGGTGCCACATGGGCAAGTCAGAGTAAGCGGGAGCCCCGATTGTGCGAAAAATGGTAGTAGCCGGCGTTCCTGAGATTGCGTGAAAAATAAAAAGAAAGAAGACAAAGAGAGGGAGGGAAAAAGAAAAAAAAGAAGGAAAGAAAGAAAAAGAAAGGAAGGAAGGAAGGCAGCCAGCCTTGCGGTCTCGTCTCTTGTTCCACTCACTCATGCAGCGCAGGTCACCTTTGCTTTCCAGCTGCAGTTCCAAAACAGGATTCTTGTTTTTGCAAACACAACAAAATCAAACAAACCAACAAATAAGCCACAATCCTATCATTTGGCCTGGATCAGGGATCTCGACTTGCCCCGATTCCTGTGATCCGAATATGGCTTCTGAAAGAGGCACCTGGATCTGCTAGGTTAGGGGTCTGCAACCTTAAACACTCAGAGAGCCACTTGGACCTGTTTCCCACAGAAAACAAAACACCAAACAAAACACCGGGAGCCACAAAACCTTGGTGGCTGTGGCCAACTCAACGTCACTCCCACCCACTCACATGACCTCCCCCCCCTCCACACCTACCCAGGTTTTGTGGCTCTGCATGGTTTCTGTGGGAAATGGGTCTGTCTCTTTCTCCTTCCCTTCCTCCCTCTCATTTGTTTTTTGTTTTACCTTCTCAGACCAGGAGGGGGGGTGATTGGGAGGGGAGGCCGAGGGTCAGGGTCAGCCAGTGGTGGGATCACCCAACAGAGAGCCACAGCTCACCCAACAGAGGGCCCAAAGAGCCGCATACGGCTCCAGAGCCACAGGTTGCTGACACCTGTGATTGCCTCAGCCTTGATCCTTTCCGCAGCCTAATCTTCACTGTTGCATCGATAGGATTCAACGACGTGATAAAGGGCCCGAGTGGTAGCAGCTCTGGGGGATTTGGTGTTGCAAAGAGCAATGGCGACGTTTGTGGTTATGGTGCTCCATCAAACAGTAGCCAGTTCCAACTGACTGTAGATAAACTTAGGGTGCCAATCACTTTCTCTCAGCCCCAGGAAGTAGGGAATGGCAAATCACTTCTACAAACCTTTGCAAAGAAATCTGCAGGGACTTGTTTCGGAGAATCAGGCAGGATTAAACAGGAAAAATAACAAAAAGCGGGTCCCCGGAGTCTGTAGTCTAAATCAGGGGTCTCCAACCTTGGCAACTAAGCCTGGCAGACTTAAAGTTGCCAAGTTGGAGAACCCCTGGTCTAAACAGTGTTTCTCAACCTTGAAAACAGATGTACAGAATTCCCCAGGTAGTAATGCTAGGGGGGGAATTCTGGGAATTGAAGTCTTCAAGCTGCCAAGGTTGGAAAATGCTGGTTTTTTTCAAGTCAAGCAAACTAGTTTGCGGGGATGTAAAATACTGTCGCGTTAACCTATTACAAAGAAGTTGTGGCACGTGAAGGTTCTCGCTCAGTTTCTGAGATCACTGGACGGGCATTTTGGAAATCCTGGTGGAGGTTGCCAAAAAGAACCAATAAATGCAACTGGATCAGTTGCCCGATATTTGTAAGGGATGTCGCTGTGTGCCGTATGTCGTTTTGTTGAAAAAACAAGTCACAATTGCAAGATGGGTGCAATTCTTTATCAGTAAAATAAATAGGTTCTTTGAGGGCATTTACTCCTTGTATGACAGCGGCCTAACTGTAAGTAAGAGAACCATCCTGGCTTGTAACAATTTGAAACCTGCTTTACAAGAACAATGGAAAAGCAAAGGTTTTCATTTTATTACAAGTCGGAAAATCCTTGGCAGCCAATCAGATCCCTGAGGATTTCCAGCCCTGTAATAAAATAAAAACCTTTGCTTTTCCATTTTTTGTGGGTCCCTCTTTCTTGTTAAGCTGGCACCCAAAGACCATTGCAATAGACATGCTTGATGGAACAGCATCCCCTGGTGGATTGCAGGGCCCTTCACGCATCTCTCCCCGCCCTTCGTGTTAGGACAACACAAGGGACAATTAAACCTGTGGCCCACTGGTGGACCGTGAGAAAATTTGGGGGGGGGGGCTGCAAAGAAATCTTACCCCCAGAGCACCCCCCACCCCAAAGCAATTAATCCAGGCTGCGCAGAAACACAAGGCTGCACTGCAGGAACCCTCCCTGCCCACTCACTGCTTACCCGGCAAACTTGCCTGATAAATTGCTATTTTTCCTTTTTCCCACCATCATCTGTTCTGCTGTGCCGGGAGATTTAGATTAGGTAGGAAGCAGGAAATGGTTGGATTTCTTGCTTTCTAGCTTGTCTTTAGATCTTCGGCTCTGCTTTTAAGCACAGCCGAACCTCCCTTAGGACTGCAGGTTCTATTATTCGGTGCAGACTCACGGCAATATGGATGGCACATAGATAAGATTTCTGAATGAATCTGTGATACTGCGAGCAACTCAACCTGCCTGCCTGCTTTGCCTGATTCTGGGTAAAAGCTGCTCTTTTTTTAATAAAAAATTCAATATTTATATAAATATTTATATTTACATACAAGCCATGCCCAGTCAGTCACATGACTACCATGCCACACCCACAAATTAGGCCACACCCACAGAACCAGTTAGCGGTCCCTGGGATTTAAAATTATGAGTTTGGTGGTCCCTGAGGTCCAAAAGGTCGGCGACCTCTGAACTAAACAGTGTTTTCTAATGGGGCACTGGTGGAGGGGATAATACCAGATTTAAATCAGAATAGACCTGGAAATTAACTTCTCCAGTTTAACTCCTTGAAGGAGAAAGATAAGTTTTGGGCAAGAATGCCACCAGGCCTGAACGCAGTTAGTAAGGCTAGGAGGCCTGGCTGACTTCTAAATTGAACAATAACAAAAAACACCTTTCTGGGACATCACAACCATAAAAATGCCATCACCTTTGCTAGATGTGCCTTATATTTGCAGGGCAAGTAAATGTTAAATGCTTTGCAATTTACAATATATGGGGTTTATTGGTTTCTGTATTACGATTGTATAGCTGTAAACTGTTGAGTTACCATGAGTTGCTCTGCCATATAGATTTTCGTAATAAACATACATGCATTCATATTTATATGCCCCTTTATGATATGAAGAAATAACTCAAGATGACAAACACACCTAATAAAGGTCCAAGCTCGCTTTCTCTGGCCCAGCACAGCAGTTCCCTTCAACTCCATGAAAGGGAACCGCTACCCCGGGCCAGAGAAAGGAAGTTCAGATTTCCCTCCTCATGTCTGATACTAAGACACGTTTGACTAAAAAGAATCATGCAAGAAATTAAAATTATTAATTTCTCAGCTGGGCTTCCAATAAGAAAAGAGAAACGAAGTTCAAGATTCCTCTACACACATCAAATTTTCCCTCATGTGGAATTTCTTGTGTGCGATAAGAGAGGAATTGCGTGTGAAACACTGTTCACAATCTGGGCATTTGAATGGTTTCTCCCCTGTGTGTAACCTAACATGATTTATAAGGTTAGACCTAATACTGAAATCCTTCCCACAATCTGGACACTCATATGGTTTTTCTCCTGTGTGAGTCCTCCAGTGTATCACCAAGTCGTAATTCCGATAGAAACATTTCCCACACTCGAGACACTCATATGGTTTCTCTCCTGTGTGAATTCTCTGATGCTTCACCAGGTATGAATTCTGACTGAAACTTTTCCCACACTCAAGACATTCATATGTTTTTTCTCCTGTGTGAGTCCTCTGATGTTTCACCCGGTTGGAATTATGACTGAAACTTTTCCCACAATAGATACAGTCATATGGTTTCTCTCCCGTGTGAGTCCTCTGGTGTAACATCAGGTGAGAATTCTGACTGAAACTTTTCCCACAATCCGGACACTCATACAGTTTCTCTCCTGTGTGAATCCTCCGGTGTATCACCAGGTCGAAATTTCGAATGAAACTTTTCCCACATTCGAGACACTCATATGGTTTTTCTCCTGTGTGAGTCCTCTGGTGTATCATCAGAGCAGAATTCCAACTGAAACTTTTACCACAATCCAGACACTGAAATGGTTTCTCCCCTGTGTGTGTCTTCTGGTGCTTCACCAGTTCAGACTTCCAACTGAAATTTTTCCCACACACTTGACACTCGTACATTTTCTCTCCTGTATGATTTCTCTGGTGTACCACAAGATAGGAATTGCGAGAGAAACCTTTCCCACAATCAGGACATTCGTATGGTTTCTCTCCTGTGTGAATTCTCTGGTGTTCCACCAGGTGGGAATTCCGACTGAAACTTTTCCCACAATCCAGGCACTCATATGGCTTTTCTCCTGTGTGAGTCTTCTGGTGTTTCACCAAGTCGGAGTTCCAACTGAAATCTTTCTCACAGTCTGGACATTCATATGGTTTATCTCCTGTGTGAGTCCTCTGGTGTTTCAGAAGGTTGGAATTATAACTGAAACTTTTCCCACAATCAGGACATTCAAAGGGTTTCTCTCCTGCGTGAGTTCTCTGGTGTACAAGCCGGTTGGAATTCTGTTTGAAACTTTTCCCACAATCCACACACTCATAAGGTTTTTCTCCTGTATGAGTTCTCTGGTGTTTTACCAAGTTGCAATTCTGACTGAAATGTTTCCCACAATACAGACACTGATATGGTTTCTCTCCCGTATGTGTCCTCTGGTGTATCACCAACTTGGAATTATGCTGGAATTTTTTCCCACAATCTGGACATTCATATGGTTTCTCTCCTGTGTGGTTTTTCTGATGTATCACCAGGTTGGATTTTTGACTAAAATTTTTCCCACAGTCAGGACATTTAAAGGGTTTCTCTCCTGTGTGAGTCCTCTGGTGTCTCACCAGATTGATTTGCATGTTAACTTTTTTGCCACATGGGGCACACTGATAGAATTTCTCTTCAGTATGAGTCCTTCCATGAATCATGAGTGACCTGTTCTCAGTAAAGCTTTTGCCGCACTCCAAACATTTGTCTGGCTTTTCATGGGATGGATTGACATGCATAAATCATAAATGGTGATCTGCAATCTATTTTTCCCCACATTAGGCAGTCTGTGGTGTTTTTCCAACACTGATATTCTTGGATTCTTGAGGTGGCCAGAAATATTTCTGCTCTCTTACTTGGTGTTTGTTTGGTTCAAGTCACTCTTTCCTTCTTCAATGGCTTTCATTAATGCCTGCCCTTTTTGGCCATCCAAGGGATCTTTTCCTTCCCACTGACTTCCAGCAATGTCCTACTTTTTCTGAATTTGGAAATTATCCCACTTAACTTTTTATGTAATGGTTCCGAGTTCCACATAGTCTGTTTTCCAGCTCAATGCCTTGTTATTCTCTCCCTTGTCTCTCTGCTGAGGAAAGGAAAGTGTTTTTTCTATTTTCTGGAGGAAATGGAAAATATTTTGATTGATGGTTTGTTTTGCATTTTAGTGCAGCTTCTCATTCTGTTGTCCAGAGTGCTCTTCTTGGCATCCTCTTTTTCTGTAAGATTTATATTAATGGGTTAGTTTCATTATTGTTTAAAGAATTGGAGAACATGTGAAAGCAGCAATAAATAAATAAATCCCCATATACCACGAATAAACAAACACCAACATTCGAACTTAACCTCCAACTTTAATTATCATTCATTTGAGGAGTGGTAGGGTGCCCTAGAGGTGGAGCTCTCGCCTCACAATCAGGAGGCTGTGAGTTCGATCCTAGGTAGAGGCAGATATTCTCTTTCTGGGCACACCAAGAATATATCTGCTGAACAAAACTCCACACTGGCGACAGGAAGGGCATCCGGCCATTAAAACACTCTGCTAGTTTCATTCAGTTGCTCAGACTCCACCCCTCAAGGGATTATGGGGTCATTAAATGAAGATAATTATCATTAACTTGGCATATAGAAGACTATGATTTTATGTAAATAAAATAAAATCTCAGGGGAGACAAGAGGTCAAACTTCAGTCTTTCAGGTGTGCTAAGTTGTAGGGACAGGTTTTGAAGAGTTCTCCTGCACCCCCCACCCTCAAAGGAAAAACTTTCTGGAACTGAGGGAGGCCCATTTTCTCCCTAACCTCTAGCATTAATTATGATTTATTTGGCATATAGAAGACTAGTAAGATCCAAGTTCAAATATCGACTCAATCATAAGATTCTCTTTTTGGCTTGGGTAAATCCCTTCTTATATGCATGCATATCAGCACAGAGATACAGACCTATCCATTTATTTACGTAGACAATCTAAGTGCATTTCAGCGTACAAAATGTCCTAGAAGTGCATTCGGCTCATATATTTTTTTTCTCTGTTGAGAACGGTGGGGATCCTAACAGATGAGATGGTGTCCAAATCCCATGCAACATTTAAGCATCCGTTCTGCCCATGAAACTCCTCGCTTTGCCAGGAAAACAACATGTCAATAAAATGGAAGGGTTGAGGGACATGAAGAGAAATATGACCAATATACAAATATTTCTTTCAATCCCCCAAATCTGCCAGCAGAAAAATCACAGGCAGCTTTTTAAAATCATGCAGCAAAAGGGTTTGAGATAGAGGAAGAATATGCAGCAACAGCAGCAGCAGCAGCCCATATCTTTCATTCTTGTGCCTTCGCTTCTTCCACCCCGCCGTGGACGAACCCAAAGGGCCGGACTTGCTCCCGGCTTCTCCTCCGACCTGCCCTCCACTCACCTCCCAGGAGCCGCTTCGGCCCCTCCAAGCAGCACAAAAGGCTCCGCTGACGCCATCAGCCTCCCGCGGGTGAGCGCGGAAGAGGAAGTTTCTCTGTCCTTCGCCTCCACGACCCCTCTAGCAATCCAATACTCTATCGTTTCAACTCGTTCAAGCTCAGTCTCTCCCCTTTCCCTAGAACAGGTAGCTATGCTGCGGCTATACAAGTACTTGCTTTCTAGGCGCGAGTGTTGCTTCTCCGTAGAGCACCATCTAGTGTCATAAGGCGGAATAACACGCTCGTTTTAACCTAAGGCGTTTGAAGAGGTTCTCATTCCTTCCTTCCTTCCTTCCTTCCTTCCTTCATACTATGGAAAGGGAACTTCATGAGGACAGTGGTGACACCCAAGCAGGAAAAGCCCAAAGGGAACATCAGGCCAGCCATAAAACAAACTTGCATAGGAAAAGAGATTTAATAAAAGGTATTGAAAGAAGCCCCCTAGACAAAAGCCAAGTAATTAAGAAAGCTAGGGAAACAAGAAAAAGAAATCCCTTACAAACAACAGGTCATGCCAAATCAGCAAAACAAATAGACAAAAGACACGAAATAAATTCCATAGCAGACAGGAGATTGCCACAAAACAAATATAAGAAAACATTAGGACGAAACTGATAATCCAATCAAACCACCCCACGGAGTTTACCCTCCGGCGGAAATGAAGACAACCCCTGACAGGATTTAAAACATTAAGAAAAACAAACACAAGCACTCACACACAAAAGGAGAAAAAAGTATAAAAATCAGGGGTTTATTATACAAAGCCAGCTAGCCCCAGGAACGCAGACTTCTTGCTATCTCTTGCCTTCCTGAAAAATAAAAAGAACCAGCTTCCAAGCAGTTGTCTGTGTCCTTCACTGGAGCTCTCCCAGCAGGAAAATCAAGCCCTCAGAAGAAAGGCATTTTAAGCAGCCTTTCAACAATACAATGAATCAATCAGAATGAGTGCCATCAAGTCTTTTTTGTCTCCCATTGATAGCTTTTCTCCCTGAGGATCCACCCCATGTTGTAATGACGTCGAGTTGTTTGATCATAAACAACTGAATCATGATGGTCTTTATTGGAGTCTAGTGTTGCATTTATACACATTTTTAGTTATCCTCCATCACTGGTTAACTTTGGTTACCGCTTAACTTTTGTTACTGTTTAGCACAGTAATCCATACAATTAATTATCTCTAGTTAAAGTCTAACATATGTTTACTTCCTCTCTCTAATCCTCCTTTAGATTAGTGACTTTGTTTGCCTGAGTTGTATTTGCTTGGAAACATTCTTTATCTGAGGTTTGCCATCCGATGAGATTGGAACATTCCTGCAATTACAACTCTACAATCCCAAACCTTTATTTTCTTTCAGGTCCCTCAAGAGGACACTCCTTGTCCCTGGAGCTGCGCCTGAAGCTTCGTCTGCAAGAAGCTGCAACGAAGCCAAAGGAAAGCTCCCTTTGGGAGAGGGGGGGGGGTGGAATGACGTGCAAATAGGAAACGAGAAAGTGCACCTCCCTTGTTTCCAGGTGATTTTTCCTTGGGGGTGGGTGTGGGGAGTGTTGCAGGATAACTCCTTGAAACTTAACTAAAGCTGTAAGACGAAAGCTTGGCCTCTTGTCTCTGCTGGGATTTTCTTTTCTTTCCCTTTAAATGTTTAGCTAACAAGCACACAATGTTTCCTATTGGTGCCCCATCCCTGCTTAACAATGGAAAGTTTGGCACCAATTGCTTGTCCCAACCTTAGAGCCATCCGTATTTCTTTTCCAACTTCAGGAGTGGAACGAGTCATTCCCTCCCTTCTGGACAGTTAGCATCCTGGCTGGCTTGATGCCTTCATCAACAGCAGTTTGTAATGCATGAGAAAATCACGAGAGGTTTTCCTGGCAGAGCAGTTCGAGGCATTGCTGCAGATTCAGATCTTTTCTAATTTTGCCAGCTGAAGAGAGCAATGAAAGGTTGGCAGCCTGGGACTTCAACTCGCCCTCTGCTTGCGGCTCTGAGGTTGCCACCTGGAGAAAGGGCTGTGCAGGAGGAAAGACACCTGGGTCCTTCTCAGTCTGGCTTCAGGCCGGGACACATCGCCAAAATGGCATTGGTTGCAATCCTCATGGACTTTTGGAGGGTTTGAGATAGAAGACGTACAGTGATTATGTGCCTTGTAGGCCTAGTTTCAAGATCATTTGACCATGATATCCTTCTGGAGTGTTTTGAGGACGGGACAACTGCTCGGTTCCACTGGCAATCTAGGGAAGTGCTCCTGGGCTGCGGGGCCAGCGGGTGAGTGGGCTGAGGTGGTGGAGGCGCTGATTGGTGGGCGTGGTGCTGCTGCTGCTGCTGGGGCTAAAAACAGGCTGATTGTGTTCTGGCCTCCGGTGACTGTCACCAAGTCGTCGTAGATCGCCACATAGATCCCCAACAGCATTGCTGCTGCGCCAGCCACCGGCATCTCCACCGCCCTCCATGGCCAGCTCGCCGGCCTGGACCTCACCTGAGGCTCCTGCAGCCCGCAAGTGCTTCCCAGCCCTGCCCGATATCCCACCCCCTGCCGCTGCAGGGAAAGCCATGGCCGCAGGCAGGGCTGCTACCCACTCCACCTCCTGTCGTCTCTTCCTGGGCATGGGGGGAGGGAGGGAAGGGGAGGGAAAGATGGGAATGAGAAGGAGGGACGGAGGGAGGAAAGGAGGGAGGGAAGGAAGGAAATGGGAATGAGGAGGAGGGAGGGAAGGAAAGGGGGAAGGAAGGAGATGGGAATGAGAAGGAGGGAGGGAAGGAAAGGGGGAAGGAAGGAGATGGGAATGAGGAGGAGGGAGGGAAGGAAAGGGGGAAGGAAGGAGATGGGAATGAGGAGGGAGGGAAGGAAAGGGGGAAGGAAGGAGATGGGAATGAGGAGGAGGGAGGGAAGGAAGGAGATGGGAAGGAGAAGGAAGGAGGGAAGGAAAGGGGGAAGGAAGGAGATGGGAATGAGAAAGAGGGAGGGAAGGGAAGGGGGGAAGGAAAGATGGAAATGAGAAGGAGGGAGGCAGGGAAAGAAAGAGGGGGAAGGAGGGATGGAGGAAAGTGGAAATGAGAGGAAGGATCTGAGGGAAGTCCCGCCTTAGCACTTGGCTGCCAGCCCTGCTGCCTTCTTGCCACCCGCTTGCCCTCTCCTCCTGTCCTGTCCCGGTGGTCTCCCATCCTATCGCTGAGGATGCTTGACTTACAAAGCCAGGTCTCCTCCCATGGAGAGGGTGTGGATCCTCCTCTTTTGACTCATGCGCTTTGCCCTCCCGTACCCACAATCAGCAACCTGGCCGAGGACAGCGAGCACAGCAGCTGCGCTCTTGAGGTAAGCGTGGCCGAACGCTTCCCCTTTGAGGAAGGAGGGCCGGGTTCGGCTGAGGAGTCCCGAGACCCCAGGAGCTATTGGGCCAGACTGGGCGATTGCCATGCTGCCCAGAGGTACCGGCAGTCCACGCTGGCATGTGGGAGTCCTCTGCATGGCCTGAGAGGGACGGTGAGGCTCCTATGGGGGCGGGCGGGGACAAGGCTTTGGTGCTCACCCTGGTTTCACCTTCCTCCACTGGAGACCTCCAGATTCTCCCCTCCCAGTCTGGCCTGCCCTACCCCCAAGAAGCGGAGGACAACCCAGCTGCACGTGGAAGCGCAGAAGAGAAAGTTTGCAGGAAACAGTTTCCTCACAGTCCCAACTTCTCCCTCGACAGATCTCTGGAAAGGAGGATGGGATGGTGGAGGGGGTTGCATGAGTGAAGGCTGCCCTAACAAGCCGGCATCCTTACTACACGATTGGAAATGGGGATTCCCTTTCCGGAAGGGCCAGCTTCCCTCATGCGGGGCCAGGGAGTGCTGCTACCCCGCCGCCTCCTCTTGCTCTCCAGAGATCTGTCAAGGCAGAAGTTGGTCCGGGAGAAAACCACTTCCTGCACATTTTCAACTCTTGAGCTTCCCCACGCAGCAATGTTGTCCTCTGCCGCCTGCTTTGCTGGGAGGGGGCACAGGACAGGAAACACCAACGATGTCTGGCATTGGGAAAAGTACATCTCTTTTGGCATGCTGTGCTCACACACACACACACACTCCAAATTTGGAGCCTATTATCCACATCCAAGCTTGCAGACTGCCAATCATGCCTGGGCTTGGGGAAGAAGGCCTTCTCCTTCCTCTGTGGATAAAACTCTCCATACATAGAAAGGGGTGTGTTTGTGAATGCACGCTTGGCTGCCAGCAGTTTTGGGAACTTATGCGACACCAAATTGTCCCCATTTTGAGTTAGCCGGTGCAACTTACTCAATCCTGACGCTGCTGTTCGGAGTCAACTGCGCCCAGTGAGCATTGTCGAGCAGGCTACACGGACCTGGCCACGCCTACCTAGTGCCTATAACCCAGCTGTGACCACCCAGCCACTTCTCCCCAGCCATGCCCACCTGGCTGGTGTTGAGTCCTCATAATCTTACAAGCAACTGGCCCTTTGAAGGCAACCATAATGCTGATACAGTCCTCAACGGAATTGAGTTTGACATCTGTGGTTTACATAATCAGCATATTGCCCCCAACAATCTTGTGTTCTCGTTTTATTGATCTCAAGATGGAAGGCTGAGTCAATCGCGAGCCCCCGTCAGGATCAGATTGCAGGCTGTGGGCAGAGTCAGCCGGTAAAACTGCATTTGAACCACTGAGCCACCAGGGCACCTGTCATTATTGCCCTACCTTTATTATTATTGCGTCCATATCTTCTGCTAGATCAGATAGGGTAGGCGCACTAGCCCTTTAAATATTGCTATTGGATAGGAGGTAGGAAGTTTTTTCGGTTGCAGCTCCTGCCCTGTGAGACACTCTTCCCCCTGGAGTTTGGCAGGCCTTTATCCTCCTGGTCTTCCGTAAAGCATGGAAGATGTAGCTTTTCCACTAAGCACTGGGATAAGAAAAGGTGCCTGCCCATCAGTAACTTGATTTGGAACCAGGTGTCTGTTTATATGCATTTAGTTTTAATATGGTTTAAAAGCTAATGATTGATTGGGAGCTGCTCTGAGATTGTTATAACATGGATGGCTACATAAATATTTTAAATAGACCAGAGGAAAAACAGATGAATAAAAAAAATGGACCCACTGAAGCAGCCCACCTACAATGTGAGCTTGCGTAAGAGACAAGAAACGAAATTCAAGAGCCCTCTACACACATCAAATTTTGCCTCAAATTGAGTTTCTTGCGTGATAAGGGAGGAACCTTGAGCAAAACACTTGTCCACAATCTGGGTACATAAATGGTTACTCTCCTATGTGTAACCTAACATGATTTAGAAGGCTAGTCCTAGTACTGAAATCTTTCCCACAATCTGGACACTCATATGGTTTCTCTCCTGTGTGAGTCCTTCGATGTATCACTAAGTCATAATTCCGACAGAAGCATTTCCCACACTCGAGACACTCATATGGTTTTTCTCCTGTGTGACTCCTCTGGTGTATCACCAGCTTGGAATTCTGAGTGAAACTTTTCCCACAATCCAGACACTCATATCGTCTCTTTTCTCTGTGAGTTTTTTGGTGTCTTATCAGTTCAGACTTGCAACTGAAATTTTTCCCACACTCTGGACACTCATTCAATTTCTTTCCTGTGTGAGTCTTCTGGTGTATCACCAAGTGAAAATTCCAAATGAATTTTTTACCACAATCCAGGCACTCATAGGGTTTTTCTCCCACGTGAGTTTTCTGGTGTCTCACCAGGTGAGAAGTCTGAGTGAAAGTTTTTCCACAATCAGGACACTCATAGGGTTTCTCTCCCGTGTGAGTCCTCTGGTGAATCACCAAATTGGAATTCCGAAAGAAACCTTTCCCACAAAACAGACATTCATATAATTTTTCTCCTGTGTGAGTCAACTGGTGTATCACCAGGTTAGAATTCCGAGTGAAACTTTTACCACAATCCGGACATTGATACAGTTTGTCCCCCGTGTGAATTCTCTGGTGTACCACCAGATGAGAATTCCGATGGAAGCTTTCCTCACAATCTGCACACTTATATGGTTTCTCTCCCATGTGAGTCCTCTGGTGTTTCACCAGGTAGGAATTCTGACTAAAACTTTTCCCACAATCACAACATTTATATGGTTTCTCTTCTGTATGTGTCTTCTGATGTTTCACCATGTCAGAATTCCGAGCAAAATATTTCCCACAATCAGCACACTTATATGGCTTCTCTCTTGTGTGAGTCCTCTGGTGTATCACCCTGTCAGAATTCCGAGTGAAACGCTTGTCACAATATAGACACTCATATGGTTTCTCTCCCGTGTGAGTCCTCTGGTGTTTCACCAGGTAGGAATTCTGACTGAAACTTTTCCCACAATCACATTTATACGGTTTCTCCTCTGTATGTGTCTTCTGATGTTTTACCATATCAGAATTCCGAGTGAAATGTTTCCCACAATCCACACATGTATATGGTTTCTCTCCCGTGTGGGTCCTCTGATGTATCACCAGGTATGAATTATGACTGAAACTTTTCCCACAATCACTACATTTAAATGGTTTTTCTTCTGTATGTGTTTTCTGATGTTTTACCAGGTTTGATTTCCGAGAGAAACCCTTCCCACAATCAGGACATTCATAAGGTTTCTCTCCAGTGTGAGTCCTCTGGTGTACTTCCAACTCGGAATTCCAATTGAAACCTTTCCCACAATCTGGGCACTCATACGGTTTTTCTCCTGTGTGAATCCTCCGATGTATCATGAGCTTGAAATTCTCCTTGAAACTTTTTCCACAATCCAGACATTCATATCGTTTGTCTCCCATGTGAGTCCTCTGATGTATCACCAGGTCAGAATTCTGAGAGAAGCTTTTCCCACAATCAGGACATTCAAAAAGTTTCTCCCCAGTGTGAACCCTATTGTGTCTCACTACATTGGTGTTCATGCTTAATCTTTTGTCAGATGGGGAGCACTAGTAGAGTTTCTCTTCTGTATGGGTCCTTCCATGAATTATGAAGAAGGTTTTCCGAGTAAAGTTTTTACTGCACTCTAAACATTTGCATGGCTTTTCACTGGGTGAATCATGTTGCACATAATCAGATGTGATTTACAATCTGTATTTTTCTCACAATAGGCAATCTCTGGGGTTTTTCCAACACTGATATTCTTGAATTTTCAAAAAGGCCAGAAATATTTCTGATCTCTTACGTTAAGTTTTTTTGATTCAAGCCACTCTTTCCTTCGTCAAAGGCTTTCATTAATAGCTGCCTATTTTGGCCATCTGCACCTTTTTCTTCCCACTGACTTTCAGGTGTTTCCCACTTTTTATTTGGACATTTTCCTCCTAGACTGCTCATGTAATGTCTTCCTGAGTTCCATATAGTCTATTTTTCCCAACTCAAAACTTTGTTCTTGTTTTTCTGTGCCTTCTCTCTCATTTTCTGAGGAAGAAGACTTTTTACACTTTCAAGTGGTATTGAAAAAAGATTTTGACGGTTCATTTTGGATTTTAATGCTGCTTCTCATTCTCTGTTGTCCAGAGTGGCATCCTTCTTGGCATCCTCTTTGTCTGTAAGAGTCACAGCAATGGGCTAGTTTCATGATTGTTTAAAAAGTGGCTGCAGGACCTGTGAAAGCAGGGGGAAAAAAACCCATACATTAGCAGGAAAAAACAAACACCAAAATTCTAGTTTAATATCTAATATTATGGTTCACTTGGCATATAGATTAGCAAGATCCAAGTTCAAATATTGACTTGATCAAAAGATTCTTTTTCAATCAATATATCAATCAATATATCAATCAAATCAATCAATCAATCAGAATAGAGTTGGAAAGGACCTAGGAAATCTTCTAATCCAGCCCCCTGCTGAAGCAGGATGTATCATTACAGGGTAATCACTCATGCACTCATACCCAGGCACACAGAAATCCACACCTACACCTTTACGTATGTAAATAATCTATGTGTATCTTCATGTGCAAAATGTCCCAGAACTGCATTTGCTCATATTTTTCATCCAAGTTCAGAAATCTGGGGACGCTAACAGATGAAATGGTGACCAAATCCTACTGCAAAATTTAAAACATCCATTTTCCTCAGGAAACTCACTTGGCAGGAAAACAACATGTCAATAAAATCACAAGGAATCAAGTGTTTCGTGAAGGGTGAGGGAGATTGGGCGGTCAAGAAATATGAAAAGTATATAAAGATTTCTTCAAATGTTCCAAATTTGCCAACAGAAAATCACAGGCAGCAGTTTTAAATCACGCAGCCCCAGAGGAATACTGAATACTATCTGAATGCACTGTATATGCGTGCCTATTGACACTGATGTACACTCCTTAGAATTTATTTATGTAAACAATCATGTATATTTCAGTCTGCAAAATGCCTCAGAAGTGCACTGACTCAATTATTTTGATCCAAATTTAGAAAGGTGGGGACACTAACACATGGTGCCCAAATCCTAGGCAAGATACAAAACATCCGTTTTGCCCAGGAAACTCCTCGCTTGCCAGGAAAACAACATGTCAATAAAATAATCAAGGGTTATGTGAAAGCTGAGCGATTTGGGAGGCTATGAAATATGAAACATAAATAATTTTTAAATCTCCCAAATCTGCCAACAGAAAATCACAGGCAGCAGATTTAAATCATTTAGCAAAAGGATAAAAAAACATTTCGGGAGGGAAAGAATATGCAGCAGCAGCAGCCCGCATACTTCAGCCTTGTCCCTTCGCTGCTTCCTTGCCGCGGGGGCCGGACTTGCTCCGGGCTTCTCCTCCGACCTGCCCTCCACTCACCTCCCAGGAGCCGCTTCGATCTTTCAAACAGCACAAGTAGCTCCGCCGACGCCATTATCCTCCCGTGGCTGTGCCGGAAGAGGAAATTCCTCTACCTTTCCTTCGCCTCCACAACCCCTCTAGCAATCAAATAATCTATGGTTTCACAACTCGTTCTAGCTCACCCTCTCTCCCTTCCCGCTGCAGCTGTACAATACCTGCTTGCTAGGCGCCGGTGTTGCTTCTCTGTTAGATCGCCATCTAGCGACATAGAGGGGAAAAACACGCTCGTTCTCTACCCTTAAAGCGTTCTCACGGATTCCGGCCTTCCTTAAGTGCCATCAAGTCCTATTTGACTCTCATCGAGCTCATCGGTAGCTTTTCTCCCTGAGGATCCATCCCCAAACCTTTTCTTTCAGGTTCCCCCAAGAGGACACTCCTTGTCCCTGGAGCTGAGCCCGAAGCTTCTTTTACGAGAAGTGGCAACTAGACTACAGGAAAGCTCCCTTTGTGGCTGGAAATGATGTGCAAATGGGGAGAATTCTCTTCGTTCCAGTTTTTTCTCTTGGGGTGTGCCTGTGTAGGATAACTCCTCAAAATGTGCCTCTGCCACTTAACTGAAGCTGTAAGACTGAAGCTTGACCCCTTCTCTCTGCTGGGATTTTATTTTCTTTTACTTTAAGTGCTTAGCTAACATGGACAGTATTACTTATTGGTGCTCCATCCCTGTTTAGTGTTGGAAGAAAAATCCATCTGCTACAGTTCCAAGTGGGGAGAAAGACACTAGAAACATGGAGGCTGTTTGGAAAGTTGGCTTATTGGTGAACAGGACCACCTGGGTGGAGAGTGGGGGAATCCCACCAGTGGTGGCATTCAAATTGTTTTACTTCCGGTTCCGTGGGCATGGCTTTGAGGGTGTGACAGAGGAAGGATACTGTATAATCTTCAGTGAGAGGTGATATTTGCTAGTTCTCCAAACTACTCAAAAGAAAAGAGACATATACATATATACATGCATACATACATACATACATACATACATACATACATACATACATACATACATAAGTTTTCACGGGTACTTACATGTATAGTATTCAGCTTTGTTCGGGTATTTCCCCATGTCATTATAGTTGTGCTTTTAAAGTTGTAGCAACATTTCGGCAGAATCTCATCTGCCATCATCAGGCTTCTGTATAGTGTTCGTCTGTGAGTCATGTGACCCAAACAAAGCTGAATACCATACATACATACATACATACATACATACATGTATATGTATACGTATACATATATATATATATATATATATATATATATATATATACACACACACACACACACACACATACATACACACACACACAGACATAGAGACAGAGGGGGAGAGACATAGATACAGAGGGAGGGGGGGAAAGGGGAAGATAGGGAGAGATACAGAGGGAGGGAGAAACAGAGAGATACGGTGTGTGGGGAGAGGAGAGAGACAGGGAGATAGGGAGAGGGAGAGATACAGAAAGAGACACACACAGAGGGGAGAAGGAGAGATATAGAGAGGGGAAGATAGGGAGAGAGGTAGAGATACAGAGAGAAGTGGGAGAGGGAGAGAGAGATGCAGAGATAGAGGGGGAGACATGCACAGAGAGGAGAGAGGGAGATACAGAATGGGGAGAGGGGAAGATAGGGAGGCAGAAAAGGGGGAGACACTAAATTCCCCCCACCTTTAGTTAGCGGGTGCAACCTACTCAATCCTGACCCTGCTGTCCAGAGTCAACTGCGCCCAGTGAGTGTTGTCGAGCAGGCCAATACCGACCTGGCCAAACCTACCTAGTGCCTATAACCCAGCTGTGACCACCCAGTCACTTCTCCCCAGCCATGCCCACCTGGCTGCTGTGAGTCCTCATAATCTTACAAGCAACTGGCCCTTTGAAGGCAACCATAATGCTGATACATAAATATTTTAAATAAATCAGATGAATCCAAAAAAATGGCCTCACTGAAGCAGCCCATCTACAAGGCACGGAAGGTCTATGTATTTCTTTAATTATCAAATTTATATTCTTACTAATCCTGTGATTAAATTCTCTAATTTAACTCCTTGTAAGGACAAAGATTATCAGTTTTGAGGAAGAATGGCACAAGAAATGAACATAATTAGTAAGGCCAGGAAGCCTGGTTAACTTGTCAATTAAAACAAAATCAAGAATCACCTTTTTGGAATTTCCAGACTATCCAAGTCCCATCCACTTTGCGTGAAGGGCCTTCTATTTACAGAGCAAATACATGTTAAATGTGGAGGCTTTGCATTTGGCCATGGAGTCTATTGGTTTCTGTATTAAGGCTTTATTGCTGTAAACCGTGTGGAATAACCATGACTTGAGCTGCCAAATGGATTTTCAAATTAAGTAAAAATGCATACAAACATATTTATATACCCCTTTATTATATGTAGAAATAACTCAAGGTGGCAAACATGCCTAATAGAGGTCCAAGCTTACTTTCTCTGGCCCAGCAAGGCAGTTCCCCTCGACTCCGTGAAAGGGA